ACTCTAGTACCCCCTACGGAATTAGTATTATTATAATCCTTAGAATTATTAAAGGAAATAAAAAGCGAGTCCGTTATTCCTAAACCGATTATTCTATTAAAGTATAAAGAATTTTAGTTAATATTCGAAGCTTTGGTTATATTCTTATTTTAATATAATTGGTTAAAGTACTATATTAATTTAATTAAAAGGGAATTAGTACTTTAAGGACCGATTTATATATTAAATATTAAGGAATTAGAAGTATTATACGAATAATTAGTAGAAGTATTTTAGAAGGGATAGATTCGTCCTTCTATTAGTTTAGTAAATGTTTTTATTATTTTTATTTTAAAGAAGGGTGGAAAATTAAGGTTTTATATTAATTTTAAAGTATTAAATAAGGTTGTAAAAAAGAATCGGATGGCGTTACCCCTTATTTAAGAGATTTTAAATTGGTTATCGTTAGTTAAAATCTTTATAAAATTAGATTTGAAGGATGTATATTATAGGATTCGAATTCGAGAGGGAGATAAAGAGAAAACGGCGTTTCGTACGAAGTATAAGTACTATAAATTTTTAGTTATATTAATAAGATTAGCGAATATATTAGCGATATTTTAAATGTATATTAATTATATATTAGTAGGGTTAATAAATATAATATATATTATTTATTTTAATAATATCCTAATTTATAGTAAAAATAAAGAAGATTACGTTAATTATATTAAAAAAGTCTTCTAACGGTTATAAAATTGTGATTTTTATATAAACTTAAGTAAGTATAAGTTTTATATAAAGTGGGTATTATTTTTAGGATATATTATTTCCTTAGAAAGTATAGCGATGGATTTAGAGAGGGTGGTAGTAATTGTAGAATAGGAGGTTCTAGTAAATATTTATAATATTTAGGTTTTCCTAAGGTTTATAGGATTTTATTAATATTTTGTAATATTATATTTTAAAGTAATTATACCCTTAATAGAGTTATTAAAGGGGGATAAATAGAGGTTATTTAAATTTATAAAGGAAGTAGAAGAAGTATTCGCGGAATTTAAAAAATTATTTTAGGAAGCTTTTATATTATATTACTTCGATTTAACGTTATAAATCTAAATAGAAATAAATATATTAGATTTTATAATTAGGGCGGTTTTTATATAATTATACGGTAATAGATAGTACCTAGTGGTTTTTTTTTCGAGGAAGAAATTACTGGAGGAAATTAAGTATAGGGTTAGGGATAGAGAGTTATTAGTAATTGTAGGAGTATTAAAAGTATAGAAATAATATTTATTATATATAAATGAATTGTTTTTAGTAATTATAAATTATTTAAATTTATAATATTTTTAAAAGAAGGAGTAGGTTAGTACGAGGTAGAATTAGTAAGCGTTAGAATTAATAGTATATAATTTTGGGATTGAATATTGTCCGAGAAAGTTAAATCCAACGGATAGGCTATTAAAGAAATTATAATTGTAAAGAGAAAAATAGGAAGTAGGGGGTAATTATTTATTATTAAAAATTATTAAAGGGGGCGAGGAGAAGGGTTGGGCGATAAAGGAAAGTTGAATAGTAAGAGTATTAGTAAGATGGGTAATTTTAATTGGAAAGGAGGTTTAAAGGACGGTAGTAGAAGAGAAGGAATAATAATAGAATATAAATAAAATAGAAGAGGGTTAGGCGTTAGAGGACGAAGGGGTTAAATTGTAGGAAGAAAGGCGGAATTTATAGGGGGAGGGTAAATTAAATAGGGAGGAGAAGAAGTAAAAGGAAATTAAAAGTAATATTAGAAAGGATAGAATAGTAAGGAAGAGGGTAAAGTTTATAAACGAGGTTGTTAATAAATTAGGGAGGAAGGATAAAAATATTATTATAGAAAATATAGGTAGTTATATAGTAGTAGTAAGGGTATAGAAGGATAAAGAATAATTACTATTATTAAGATAATAATTATTAGAGGTATAGAAGGAGGATTTATTTATTATTAAGGAAGTATAGAAGAATGGCGAGGGGAGGAGACGGGCGAAGAATTAAAAGATAGGGGAAGACGGAATTCTACGGTATTAATATTAGGTTTATATTTTGGAATAGATATAGGCCGAATTATTTTATATTTACTATAATATAATAATAATTAAATATTCAGGTTAGAGGAAGATATTAAAGTATATTAATTAATTCTATTATTGGCTTATTATTATAATTAATGTTAAATTATATATTTACGAATATTTAGTATATTAGAAGGTTAAGCTTTATAATTACCAATTATATAGGTTATTAAGGTTATTACTTATTCCTACTATCTTTTAATGAAATATTTTATATAATTTTATTATTAAAATATTAAAATTATTTAACTTTATATTTAATCGGACCTATAATATAATTCTTATTATTATTGACCGTTTTACTAAGTATATTTTATATATTTTTATATAGAAGATAATTGATATTTAGTAATTTATATTCCTTTTTTAGCGAAATATTTCTTAGTAATTTAATTTCCTGGATTTTATTATATTAGATAGAGGTAGCGTTTTTATAAATTAATTTTAGAAGATTTACTATAAATTCTTGGATATTTGTAAATACTTTAATATAGTTTAGTATCCCTAAACGGACGGATAAATAGAGAGGTAAAATTAGAATTTAGAATTATATTTTCGAACCTTCTATAATATGAAGTAGGTTAATTAGGCCGAAAAAATTATATTAGTATAGTAAATATATAATAATTATTTTTATATTGTTATTAGAAAGTCCTTTTTGGAATTATTCTTTGGGTATTATTTTCGGGGATTAATGGACTTAAAGTAAAGGCGGAAAATAGTCTTTCTAATAATAATTATTAATTAAATTAATAAATTATTTTGTGGATAGTTAGAAATTATAGTAGTTTTAGAGGTTATTAATTAGGGGTATATAAAATAATATAATAAAGTTCAAAAATTAAAGGAGTTCGATATTGGAAGTTAAATTTTATTTAATATAAAATATATTAAATAACGCTACCCAAATATTAACTTAATAAATAAGTTTTTAGGACCTTTTTAAATTACTAAGGTTCTTAAGGAAAAGAAGATAGTATATTAATTTATACTTTCTACATATTATTAAATTTATTTAATATTCCTTATTATTTTATTAGAATTATACTATAGGGATCCTGTTATAGCAACACTATAAAGGGAAGTTATAGATATTAAGGAGGATAATATTTAGTATAAAGTTAAAGTAATTATAAAATATTATAAATCCGGCTATTAATATTAATTCTAAGTTAAATAGAAGGGGTATCCGGACGATGAGAATTCGTAGGTTTTATAAGAGGATATAAATTGCCTAGACCTTCTTAAAGAATACGAAATTAAGGAAATATAGCGGTGGTATGTTAGTGGCGGACTAATTATTAGATTGATAAAGGTTAGTTCAATAATAGAAAGAGAATAGTAATTATTTAAAAATATAGAATAGAAATATAAAATATAAATATGAGCTGTAAAGTAGAGATGTAAAATGTAAATATAAAATGTAAATATAAAATATAAATATAAAATATAAATATAAAATGTAAATATAAAATATAGACGTAGGATGTAGAGTAAAAATATAAAATATAAATATAAATTGTAAAGTAGAAATATAAATAGAGATATAAAATATAAATATGAAATGTAGATGTAAGGTATAAAGTAGAAATATAAAGTAGAAATATAGGAGCGGAGATATAGAGTAGAGATATAAAGTAGTAATACGAAAGTAGAAATATAAAATAGAAATGTAAAATAAAATAATTAAATAGAATGAAAAATAGGAAAGGAAGGTAATTTAATTTAATGTAGGATATTAATAAGGTATTAAATAGAATATAATTTATATTTTCTATTATTACTCTAAATGAAAAAATCTTTAGTAGTATTTATTATTATTAATATAAGATTAGAACCTATAATTTTGGGAGGAATATTTTTGTATACTATTATATTTATTAATAATATTCGTAAATATTATTTTATATTATTTATTTATAATCCTCCTTTACGAATTTTAATAATTTATTTAATTTTCTATTTATAAATACTAGCCTCTTATTAATTATCTAACGTTAGGGACCCCAATTATAATTAGGGGAGGGGGTAATGCGAGTAAGAGAATTTAATATAAAAATATTTATAGGAGAACCGCTATTATTAATAATAGGACTATTAATAAGGGCTACTAGATTTATATTAGTATTAATATTACTAATATTATAGTAGCCAAATTTTAAATAACCTTTATAATTAAAATTCCTAATTCGGAGTATATTAAATAATGTTATAGGGAGATTATTATTAATAAAATATATTTATATTATAATTTAAAATACTACTGCGGACCAATGTAACTGCTATAAAAGGGGGGTAAGTAGGGGGCTACTAGTATTGGTAAAGTGTATAATTTTAATTACTATATCCTATATATTATTTTAGAGATAATAAATACTATAGGGGATTTCGAGTATATAGCGGTGTAGTGATAGTGAATATTGCGATTTCTCGTTGAATTCTGGAAGGAGGAGACGTTAGTAAAAAAAAAAAAAAAAAAAAAAAAAAAAAAAAAAAAAATAGGAGAGATAATAAGGGGAAAATAGCGTACTTTTAATCTAGTAAGTATATATACTAATTAGATAAAATACTTTGTATAAGTTTAAAGTTGGGGTACTAGTAAATATTTAAATTAAAGCGACATTATATTCTAAATAAGTAAAGGGGCGGATATTATTAAAACATAAGAAAGGAATAGTTGATTAAAGGTTAATTACGGGTATAAGGTAAAAAGAAAGAGAGGACGGAGCGAAAAGGAAGAAAATAGGGAGGAAAAGTAAATATATTAATTGGATTTATAAAGGAAATAAGAATTAATATATAAATATATAATAGAGATATATATATTTATAGCGGGGGTTAATTTAAGCGAAAGGGTAGTTGAGGTAACTATAGAATTAAGGGAGGGGGTAATAAATATAATTATAAAAGTAAGGATAGGAGGAAGAAGAAAGGAGAGGTAAAGAGGGTAGGTAGAAGGGATATTATATAAATAAGGAAGGAGGTCCTTATTAAAACGCTTATAACTTTAGAGAGCGATGTCCGGGGCCCAAAAGTGTTATAGTAGTCGAAGATTCCACACCAGAGGTCGTAGTACTATAGGCCCTACATCGTCGCGAGGAAGGCGCGGTAGTTCTATCTATAGTAGTCCAAATACTATTAATTGCGGAGCCTTAAATCCGAAAGAGGAAATTCGAAATATTTACCAAATTCAAGGCCCGTACTTTCAACTACAAAAAACTACTTTTTCCTTTGTAATTAAAATTACTCTTCAACTATTACGTGCATTAAAGTGCATAGGGTATCAAAATAACGAGAAAAATAAGGCGGTTATTTTAGTATTGGTCGCATTATAGTACACGCTCTAATCATCGAAAAAAAGGCAAAAGAAGATAAAAGAAAAGATTTTAGTTGCAATAACGCCTCTAACCCTAATATCCTAAAAGGGGTTAGGATTAGTTAGGATTAGGGTTAATTAGGGTTAGGGTTAACGGCCGGGAATATAGGGGGCTAGTAAGGCCCTTATATTTAAAAGGAAAAAATAATTATTTATAATAAATAGTTATTGATAACGTTTGTAGTATTTTAGAGTTCTTAAAAAAATATTTAATTTAAATCAAAACTTTTTTCTCCTTTAAAGTAGAGTATATCTATAGGCGTTTCACTGTCTTCGTTGGCCATATCTAGCTCCGGCCAAGGAACGACTATTTTATAAATATAAATTAAAGTAGGCGAGTATAGTTTAAAGCGGGCGAGTATAAAATAAAATAGGGTAAATAGAACGTTAGATAATTATATAAATAATAGGAGGGGGTAAATAGAAGAATAAAATGAAGGTAATAGTTAGAAGGGGAAGGATAGGACGAAGAAGTAATAGTAGTAGTTATAAAAAGGTAGGAGAGAAAGGTAGAAAATAGGAAAGTATATAATTCGGATTATAGTAAGGAGAGTAAGGGAAGTAGTTAGGAGTTATACTATTAGAATAGAGGGAATAATATAAGAAATAAGGCGAAGGTAATAGGAAGGTAATTAGGAAAGAATAATATAAATAAGGGAGGTTTATAGAGGAAGTAATATATAGAGTTATAGGAGGTAGAGGAAGGAAATAAAGGTTTTGAAAATGGAATTTGTAGGGAGGGGAATTATATTTAAGTATTGTAATAAATTGTAATAGGTACGAATAATAGAGAATAATTTACGAAAGGACTTTCGGATTTTAATTATATAAATATTATATAATAGGCGTAGATAATAGAGGGTACTCTACGAAAATATTAAATTATATTGCGAGCGTGGATAATAGAGAGTATTTGGTAAGAGGAATTATAGGGTATAATTATATTAGTATTTTAAAGTATTTATTAATATTTTTAGGTTTGGTGTAGTATTCTTTGTTAGGTAAAACGAAGTTTATTATTTTATATATTTGCGGGATAATAGTTTTAGTAATAATCGGGAATTTAATTAATTTTTTAAATTTAATAATAGTTTTGTATTTGTATTAAGAATTTATAAGAATAGATATTATAATATTAATATTCTAATGGGCGGAATGCTAGTATTTTATATTTAAAGTTAGTTTTGTATTTGTATTTAGAGTTTATAAGAATAGATATTATAATACCGATATTCTAGCGGGCGGAATGTTAAACATTTAAATTTAATATTTATTTTATATTCGTATTAGAATTTATAAGAATAGATATTACAATACTAATATTCTAGTAGGCGGTACATTAATACTTTAAATTTAATACCGGTTTTATACCTACGTTTAGAATTTATAAGAATGGATATTATAGTGCCGATGTATTGGTGGGCGGAATATTAATTTTTTAAATTTAATGCCGGTTTTGTAGTTATATTTGGAATTTACGAGAATAGATAATATAATACTAATATTCTAATAGGCGGTTCGCCGGTAGTAGAGCGGTTATAATCTGGAATATAGTATTAGTAGTTATAGCGAATAATGCCTAATAATACTATAATACCTAGCGTTTATTATACAAGTTCCGAGGACGGAATTTATAAGAGGAAGGGTTGTATTAGGAGGCTAAAAATTTATATATAAAAGTATTTTAGTAGCTGCTATTCCCCTTTATTAATTAAAGCGTAAGATTATTTATAATAATATTTATATTAGGTCGGGTTCGTAGGAAGAATAATCCGGTATTGTACTAAGGCGTTAAATTAGTATAGGGCTCTATAATGCTCGTTAGTGGATGAATAGAGTTTGTATAGGTATAAAAGAGGTTTAATAGAGTGTATTTTATTATAGTTGGTAGTTATTAATATATCTTTGGATTGACCCCTAATTTGCCGTCCCCTACGTGTGGCTACGACTGTAGTTACCTCAGCCTACCTTTCGCCTACGTTCCTGACAGGTTAGGGTTAAACGTGGGAAGAAAGGTAGGATATAGTCCGGTGAGACGTTTCTAATAGTACGAGTAGACTACCTTTAAATAAATTAAAAATCGTTATAGCCTAAGAAATTTATATTTATTAAGCTAATAAAAACCTTATGAAAAAATTTGTAAAATTTATTAATAAATATTCTTTACTCTAAGTAGAAGGTATTATTATTAATATTCCAGAGTAAATATAATAAAGATCCCGCTAGTCGAAGGCTGGTAAACTTGGAAAACTAATAAAAATTATACCCTTTGAGCTGAAATGATTTATAGGTCGTTAATAGAATTTCTAATAAATTTTGTAACTATAATAAATTGAATTATAATAACAAGACTACTCTCCTTTTATATTCTATTTTCGTCGTTTAGCGTACTTTTAAAAATGAACTTAAAGGCTGCCCCGTAGTAGATTTACAATCTTTAAATGAAGTTTCAATATTAAATAATTATCGCCTAACCTACAAAGAGATAGTAATTGTAAGAATAAAGGAAAAGAAATTTATTTTAATAATTGATATAGTATCTTTCTTCTATCAGTTTAGTATTTGGCCCCTATATTGAAATAGGCTTATAATAATAACCTATAGAGGCTTTAAAATTTGAAGGGTCATTCTGATAGATGATTATAATTTACTGGCCTACGTGTAACGGTTTATAGACTGGTTTCTAAGTCCCTATTCTACTTACTATTATACTTTTATTAATAATATTATTATTACGTTCAACATAGTTAAGAAATACCTTTACTAACTTAATACTATCTTTATACTTTTTAATAGTAAGAATATTATACTTCCCTAAGACTGCCGAAACTGGAAATGCTGATTTCTAGTCAAGGAGTGCTTTAAAACGAAAACTAACAATAATAATCGACTCAAGAGGGTCGTTTACGTTCCTTACAATATTCTACAACGAGCGTAGTAATAGTATTGTATTGTTGTTACTAATAGCTATTGATAGTAATAATAATAATAATAATAATAATCTTGTTCCCTATACTATATAGGCTATTAATAGTAGTATTCGTAAATTTGAAAATAATATTTATAACCCACTCGCGGAAGTCGTAATATATAATAACCCTAAAACCGTATTTACTACAAAAACCTTGGAAAAACCCGGAAAAAACGATATTATACTGAAAATATCTATTACTAGAACGAATAAGTCCGCAGACTACAATACTATCTCAACCGAAAACAAACATTAAATTCGAGAGTTACTTTTCGAATTCGTAAAGGTATATATTAAATAAAGTAGGTCCTTATAACTAGAAGTTAATAAAGTTAGAACCAACTAATTTATTATCAAAAAGAATTTTAATAATAAAAATGAAGAATATTTTAAAAGAAAATTAAAATTGTTTTCAACAAGTACTGAAGTGTTAAACTAATATTATAACGAAAAATATCCAAAATAAAATGAATATTAATTACCCTCCAATAGTTATTTACCATTATTATTATTGAATTTATTCCCTTTAACTTCAAACAATAATTTATAATTAAAGGAGTGACGATTTCAACCGAATTTATAAACCGTTTAAATAAAAATATAAAAACGACCCTAATTATAGATTTAAGAAAGAAAAAGCCTAGCCTAATAGTTTACATAGCTATTAGAAGACTAATAATAGGAAATTATATAATTATATTTGATAAGATTATATATAATTAATATTAGTAAAATTAAATATAAATTAAAGAAATCCTCGGTCCAAATACTTTTATTATTATAAATCCCGTAAGTATTCTAATTCAAGGCGTATTCTAGGTTAGTATTAATAATTATATTATATTAGAAACTTTATTAAATATAACTAGAAAAAGAAATAAGGAGGTAATTATTATTATTATATAACTATAGAAGAAAAGGGACAAGAAGAATAGAAGCCTACTCTTAATAGAAATTACTACCGCGTTAATAACGTATTTCCTCTAAGACAACTTCTTCCTTTAAGATAGTAGTATATATTCATACGAACTATTCCAAACTTCGAATAACGTCTAATAATATTATAGATATTAAAGGATTAAATATATAACGGAATTCTATTACTAGAAGGATATTTACGCCCAATATAGCGAAGTTAAATATAAAGAAAATTGCTTTAGCGAACGGAATTACCCTTCTAACGAAGATAGGTTATTTACTATAAACTGTATAGGAAGAAGAGTTATTTTATATATAATTATAAAAAATACCCTACTTTTGGGAAAATCGTTATAAAAGTATTTATTATATATATTAAAAGGCTATAGGCGTTCGCTCCTTATAAAAACCCTATTAAAACGATATTAAAATTGATAATAGAGATTGCGGACGAAGGTATTTTACCGGACGCCCCTTTGAATTCCTATACTATTACTACCTTCAAAAAATAATTTGTAGGAAATATAAAGAGAGGACGGTTAAGGAAAATTATTAATTAAACCTCCCGACTGAAACTTTTAGTTCCATAAAATCTAATTAATATTTACTACTTATATTCGTAAAACGTAAGGGAGAATCGAACGTATAGTAGTAATAGCACTTATATAACTATAACCCACCCCCCCAAGAAAATAATACCCTTATCCTCCGCTATAGAATTAAAAAGAACTTTATCTTAGGGTAATTAATAATTTAATTAAAAATATTCTATTGGAATATAGGGAAATCGTATAAAAGAAGGGAATTTTT